AAACTGAGATCTTGACTATTTAACACAATTTTTAATTAATGCTGATGATGACCTAAATTTATTGAACATTAATAGTGGCCTTTAAACTCCATTTAATGATTTTTGCCTTTATAAAAGAGAATCTTCTCTCTTATGAGTTAAATAAAGTTGTGCTTTGTCTTGGAAAAAATAAAGGGCAAAAATTGATAAATAGTGATACTGATAAACAGCAACAGAAAGATAAAAGTACATCCATTTGCAATGAGATAGCATATACTACTGTTTGACCCAAAGGGTGTTTCATTATGTTTAAGTATGGGGAGCCTAAGCCCCACCCTTCTACTTCCAGTCATTTGTTCCCATGGACAAAAAAATAATGGATGAGAGTCAATGGAACAATACGTTATTTTCTGATTCTGTTGGAAATGTCCCCTGGATGTAATATTTGATGTTCATGGAATTTAAAGACAAGTTTTGACACATTTGAGAGAATATGTATATATCTTTCCACCTAAGCACGGGTAGCATCAGTCAGACAGAGGCAACTTCAAGCTGCAAGATCCATTTTCAGTTTCACTTTATGACAACAGCTACCTGCTGCAGCAGCAGGGCTGGAGCAGACGGCAGCCCCGCTGCTCCATGGAAAGAGCCGACTGAACATACAGAACGAATGAAGCTAACCGCTGTAAGTCTGTGCTTCACAGCGATCTCTGAGTCTCAGATAATCGCTAACACAGGTGGCTAGAGTTGTCGCTAGGTACTTGAAACATGTTTACAAAAAAAAAAAAAGAAAAATCGCTAATTTTGCTTCTAATAATTGTTCCCAACCCATACTGTAATCTCAATTTAAAATCAATTAATCACCCACCCCTACCTCGAAGGAAGACAGAAAGCGTTTCAGTGTGTTTTCTACGGTCAACGCTTCCCAGCTACCTGGATGTTTTTAAGGCCTTAAATCTAGAGAAATTTATTTTAAACTTAAGACCCCACAGGAACTCTGTGAATGGATGCCCAAATAAAAAGAGTTAAGTATGTAAAGAGTAGGGCTGGGCGATATGACGATTTTAGACCGTTTTACGATCTACACATCTGACGGTCTGTTATTTTTGAGAGACCATTTTTATCACGATTCACAGCTCTGCTGTTGAATTTCTGCCTCTGAATGAAAAGGAACTTACCTCAGGCGAATGACACGCCTTTGTTTGACCCTTAACCAATTAGAGTGAGTCATAGTAATATATTAGTGCCCTGCTTGTTTTCATTTGTGTGTGAAAAAACATGGCTTCGCCGCGGCTGAGCGACACGTTCCGAAGAGGAACGCAGGGTTTCCTTAGCGCGCGGCTCTAACAACTTAGTGACGTGACATGTCTCGGAGAAAGCGTAAAAACACGTTGGACGCTTCTTCTGAAGCAGGAAAATAACACTTCTTCTTAAGCAGAGCACGACGTCGCCTCGGCTCGTTCACCCTCTGCCGAGCCGGTGTCGGTACCGGACTGAGCTCGGTCACTGGGTCGCTGGAGCTGACCCGTGACTGCCTGATGGAAAACCAGCGGGTTTCATCAGACTCGTAGTTTCTTGTTTTTGTTGGGGACCCCCTGTAATTTACCGCTCCCTCCTGCAGTCTTCCCCTATTACAATTTAAAATGATTCTGTAAATTCCGTGTATCAATAGAAACAATCTCTGCCTCTGCCAGCTGCAGTAAATGTAGTTTCCAAACAATAAGAGGTGCATTCATCTGTGTATCTCCTTTGATCCGCATTAGTGATATTTTCAGCACCAGAACAGTGAAGCAAAGAAACATTCCTGAGTTTGTTAGTAATTTTATTTATTAGGTGCATCTAACCTGTTCTATTTTTCTCTGAAATGAGATCAAATCAGTGCTTCTATGGGTTGTCTCCAATCTGCACTGGAAAATTTTACTTTATTTAGAGACTTGTTGCAGAAAATATTCAGAATGCGCAGTTTTTTGCTACCACAAGCAATCTCTGGTCCAGCCACACATCAGAGCCGTATTTGAGCTTAACTATCCACTACATGAGCAACTGGGAGCTACATAGTATTTTTAACAAGTTAATGTTTGCACAATACGTTTGCAATTGACATGTTTGCACTTTAAATATGTTTACAATTTTAATTTATGTTAAGTTACTTGAAAAATGAGAAAAACAGATTTTTGTAATTGTTTCTCTCAGGGCTTTTATCATCTCTGGTGTGAGTTTAAAATATAAGTGTGTTAGCACTGTGCTGATTATCCCTAATATGAATAAATGTTTATTTATTCAATGTTTCTCTTCTTTAATACGCAATTGAAGTTATGCTATTCATGGATAAAAAATCGTGATAAAATCGAAATCGTGATAAAATATTGGAAAAATTGTGATATTCTATTGTTGCCATATCGCCCAGCCCTAGTAAAGAGTGATGGATGGGGTGATGATTACAGGAAAAAACTTGTTTAATGTGTTCCTGAGTCACAGCAAGTGAAGATCTCATACAATTCAGTAAAAGTTTGACATGGGCCTGGACAATAAAACAATAATGGTATGTATAGCAATATAACCTATTTTCAATAGTAAAATGAGACTATCGCAATATAGTTCTTCCCTCCTTTTTTCATAGCCAACTGAATTAAACTATTTAAAAAAACTATACAAGGACATATTGGGATAATTTGCTTTTAGTTCTTAGCTTATTCATTTGATATTGACGAAAGGTTTGTCAATTTTATGTCTATTCTCCTGTAAAACTTACTGTACACTGAGATTTATTTTTAGAAATGATATTTTGTTTCTAAGTGGAGTTGACCAAGCAGTTAAGTCATTTTTGTGTTCTCTTTGTAAACTAGAACGCTTTAGTCCTGACTTTATTTAGTTTTTAATATGAACCTTTTTTATTTTAGTCATCTGAAACAGATCTGTTATGTTCCCTCAGTACGACTGTTTTGCTGAACCTTTGGCAGGAAACTAAATATTTAAATCAAAACAAACTTCTGATGATTTCACATATTACTTAAAAGCAACGGCACATTTAAATTTTACATATAGAGTAGTTTGACTTATATCGTGATATATATATATATATCACCTGAAAGGAAAAAAGATGTATCGTGATATGACAAGTCTTATATCTCCCAGCTCTAGTTTGACAAAAGACAAATCCTGAGTTAAAAGGATAGGGGCTGGACTTTTCAGTTCTTAACAAGTCTCTTGGAAGAAAGACAAAACATTTTCAAGACAAGAAGTCCAGTTACTTTCTTTTCAATTCATAATTATGTCCTTAATGATTGAGAATAGGGTTGTCACGGTAACCGGTGTAGCGGTAAACCCTGGTAAAAAAGTTGACAATAATAATGATCGTCTTGTTTTTAAAAAAATGTATTATCTCAGTGGATTACCATGGCTGCGGTGTAGGCGCGGTGACCCTTACCAGCCACCGTATCGTCTGCTGAAGTTGCCAGTGGCACATGCGCACTTTGTTATTTACAACCAAAACTTTCTTGAAGCTAAAGCTGAAATAATGGCCAAAGGAGGAGACGGCAGCGCTCAGGACATTTATTATCCCTCAAAGAAGACAAAGTGGGAAGTATGGGCATTTTTTGGATATTTGAAGAATGCCGAGGGACAGTTGATAGAAGACGGCTATCCTGTTTGCAGCACGTGCAGGAAAAAGTGTCTGTGAAAGGCAGCAACGCTTCAAATCTCATGACACATCTGCGTGACCATCACCCACCACCCTACAATCAATGCAAGGCAAGTTAACGTTGTAGCTAAAATGTGTGATCCGAGGATTTGGGTTGAGGGAGAATGCAACGCGTCACCATATAAAGCAGCCGCAGTGCACGCTATCTACATTTAAACCATGTCGCGGACACCCCCATGTTGAAATTACACTATGCCTTACGGGGTTCCCAGGGGCAGATAAGACTTGGTCTCTTTCCAAGAATAATTATGAATTTAACAATTCAAGAGACTCATTCCCCCTAGCTCTCCAGCTTGTCACTCAGTGGTTTTGCTACAGGCTCTGATCCTGCTACCACACCATGCTCTGCTCCAGCTACAGGCTTTGCTCCTGCTACCAGAACAGGCTCTGCTCCTGCTACCACACCAGGCTCTGCTCCAGCAACAGGCTCTGCTCCTGCTACCAGTTCAGGCCCGGCTACAGGCTCTGCTCCTGCTACCAGAACAGGCTCTGCTCCTGCTACTACACCAGACTCTGCTCCAGCAACAGGCTCTGCTCCTGCTACCAGACCAGGCTCTGCTCCAGCAACAGGCTCTGCTCCTGCTACCAGACCAGGCCCGGCTACAAGCCTCGCTCCTGCTACCAGACTAGGCCCTGCTCCAACCACCAGGCCAGGCCCGGCCTCCGGGCTGTGCACCGATCTCTGGGAGTCTACCGCTGGTGCATCTTGGTAAAGCATCAGGATAATAACTAAAGGGTGTGCTCCATAAAGAATTTAATAGCTCTTAAGCCTAACCCTAACCCTCATCTCATGTCTTATTCACACTAAGATCCATCCATTCACTTAGAATTTAGAGTTAATCTTGTTTAAAATTGTTTAGAAATAAATCTTAAATTTTAAAGGTGACTCGCTCTTCTGTTGTCTCTCAGTTAATATGAAGTGTTACATAGTCCCTGCAATAAAAAGTTCCAATCTTCTGGTTAAAAGTACCCAAAGATCCATAAGATTGATTTCATATTTACTATGGAATCTTACGTCTTATTAGGGCTGGGCGATATGACGATTTTAGACCGTTTTACGATCTACACATCTGACGGTCTGTCATTTTTGAGAGACCTTTTTATCACGATTCACAGCTCTGCTGTTGAATTTCTGTCTCTGAATGAAAATGGAACTTACCTCAGGCGAATGACACGCCTTTGTTTGACCCTTAACCAATCAGAGTGAGTCATAGTAATATATTAGTGCCCCGCTTGTTTTCACTTGTGTGTGAACAAACATGGCTTCGGCCGCGGCTGAGCGACAATGAGGTTTTCGTTCCGAAGAGGAACGCAGGGTTTCCTTAGCGCACGGCGCTAACAACTTAGCAATGTGACATGTCTCGGAGAAAGCGTAAAAACATGTTGGACGCTTCTTCTGAAGCAGGAAAATAACACTTCTTCTTAAGCAGAGCACGACATCGCCTCGGCTCGTTCACCCTCTGCCGAGCCGGACTGAGCTCGCCTTGGCCACTGGGTCGTTGGAGCTGCCCCGTGACTGCCTGATGGAAAACCAGCGGGTTTTATCAGACTCGTAGTTTCTTGTTTTTGCTGGGGACCCCCTGTATTTTACCGCTCCCTCCTGCAGTCTTCCCCTATTACAATTTAAAATGATTCTGTAAATTCTGTGTATCAATAGAAACAATCTCTGCCTCTGCCAGCTGCAGTAAATGTAGTTTCCAAATAATAAGAGGTGCATTCATCTGTATATCTCCTTTGATCCGCATTAGTGATATTTTCAGCACCAGAACAGTGAAGCAAAGAAACATTCCTGAGTTTGTTAGTAATTTTATTTATTAGGTGCATCTAACGTGTTCTATTTTTCTCTGAAATGAGATCAAATCAGTGCTTCTATGGGTTGTCTCCAATCTGCACTGGAAAATTTTACTTTACTTAGACTTGTTGCAGAAAATATTCAGAATGCACAGTTTTTTGCTACCACAAGCGATCTCTGGTCCAGCCGCACATCAGAGCCGTATTTGAGCTTAACTATCCACTACATGAGCAACTGGGAGCTACATAGTATTTTTAACAAGTTAATGTTTGCACAATACGTTTGCAATTGACATGTTTGCACTTTAAATATGTTTATGATTTTAATTTATGTTAAGTTACTTGAAAAACGAGAAAAACTGATTTTTGTAATTGTTTCTCTCAGGGCTTTTATCATCTCTGGTGTGAGTTTAAAATATAAGCGTGTTAGCACTGTGCTGATTATCCCTAATATGAATAAATGTTTATTTATTCAATGTTTCTCTTCTTTAATACGCAATTGAAGTTATGCTATCCATGGATAAAAAATCGTGATAAAATCGAAATCGTGATAAAATATTGGAAAAATCGTGATACTCTATTTTTGCCATAGAACCACGTCTTATGGTTCATTAAATAAATGTAAATTAACCCTTTACAATATACTAGTTAGCTGTATATACAGAGCCCTAGGATCGGATATGGATTAGTTTAAAACCTGTATAGAGAAAATGTACACAAAAATTGGCCAAAAGGATATTTTCATCTGTGGGGACTTTAACATTGATCTCATGAAGTCAAAACTGCATAAACATACTGAAGATTTCTTAGACATGATGTATAGCTTATCCCTGTTCCAGAAGATCACACGACCAACAAGAATTACGGCACAATGTGCAACCTTGATTGACAATATTTTTACAATTTGTGTTGAAAAAAATATTGCAGGTGGCATACTAATAAATTATATTAGTGACCACTGACCTATATATGTATATTTTGACATCAGCAATGGAATTAAAGAAAGTAGGTGTCAAAGAAAATCAGGGAAATAGATATATAAGAGATTACGAACAGACGATTTAATTGCTGCATTTAAAGAGGAATTGATGTCCCAAGACTGGGATGTAGTCTATAGGGAAGATGACGTTGATATGGCATATAGTAAATTTATTGACATATTTAAGACACTTTACAATAAGAATTGTCCAGTCAAGGTCATTAATGGAAGTCATAAGTATAAAAATCTCCCATGGCTAACTAAAGGATTCCAAAATGCTTGTAAAAAGAAAAACAAGTCTTTATAGGAATTTTATTAAACTATGAACTAAGGAAGCTGAAATCAGATATAAAGTTTACAAAAGTAAATTAACTGAAATAATAAGAACTAGTATAAAGATATATTACAGAAAAATCCTAAATGAAAATAAGAATAACTTAAAAGGTGTCTGAGATATACCGTACTAAACAAATTAAGTAATGGTGGGAAAAAGAAAATGGTATACCCTGAATACTATACTGATAATCAAAGTGATATTTATGATAAAATAAAAGTAGTTAATAGAATGAATGAATATTTTGTGAATGTAGGCCCAGAGCTTGCAGCAAATATACCAAGCCAAAAAAGACAGACAATAAGTGAACCACTGATAAAAAAAATTAAAAAAAAAACTACCCTGACTCAATCTTCCTCTCAGCAGTGGATGAGTTGGAAGTTAAATCAGTTGTTGATAAATGTAACAACAAAGTCTCCACTGATTGTGACGGTATTGATATGGTGTTGTTTAAAAGAGTTATTGATGTTATTCTAAAACATTAACTTTTATATTTAACTTATCCTTCCAAACTGGTTTATTTCCTCAGAAAATGAAAGTAGCTAAAGTAATACCAATTTTTAAGCAAGGGAATAAACATCTATTTAACAACTACAGGCCAGTATCACTTCTTCCTCAATTTTCAAAAATCCTGGAAAAACTATTTAATATCAGACTAGAAAATGTTTTAAATAAACACGAAATACTAGACCATAGTCAGTACGGATTCAGAGAAAAGAGGACAACAGCACTTGCAATAATGGAAGCAACCGATGGAATAATTCATACATTAGATAAAGGTAAATATGCTATTGGAGAATCTGATTAGAAGGCTACTTGAGTACTGAGTATCATCTGATCTAATATTTTTAAAATGATGACATCCAACAGACAAAAAATAAAAAGTTATGGGCAACTATTGGTATTTTAAAGACTAAAGGGGAAAAATGTAAACAAATAAACAACATAATTACAAAATAACAAATTTTAGGCAACATATAGACACAAACTGAGGACAATATTTTCCTGATATACAGGGTTTATTTAGTTGTCTGAAAATGTAACATGTTTAAAAAAATACTGCGATAATACCGAAAACCGTGATAATTTTGGTCACAATAACCGTGAGGTTGAATTTTCACACCGTGACAACCCTAATTGAGATTATACATTAACGTTTGAAGACAAACTTACAATTACACTTTGGGTTCTTGTGAGCATAGGAACGCTGTCATCTTGGATCACATCAGGTGGAGTTTCATTAAGGGTGATGGTATCTTCACTTTCAGATGATGACCCTAATTTTGTGAAGAAAAAAGAAGAATGATGTGAAGTGGTTAGCAATAACTTTTGGAATGTCTATTCCAGTGGAACTCTGTAAATCAAAACAAACCAAACATTTTTGACTAACAAAATATAGTAGGCATCCCATTCAAGGCTAACTTACTACAGTTACATTTATTAAAAATGCATGTAATAACTGAGTTGGGATGGAAACAAATATTAAACCTCAGTACGACAGTAGCAGCAAGGCAAGTATGGTTTGGCGCAGTGCTTAATTTGAGCCGGATCTTGCCAGAACAAGATCCGGGAACTGTCTTATTTTGAAAGGACCGTTTGAGCAACGGTCTGCTAGGATCCGGCAACTCACGCGACCAACTTGTGCTATACACAGGGTTTGAATTACTGGTGAGCTAAAGGGATCTCAGCTCACCCCAAAGGATGGCTTCCCTGGCAGCCCTCTGCTTTCACACCCTGTACGGAAGCCCAAAACGATCCTGGTTCTACTTATATTACATTATTCATGTGGACTCTCCGGGGATTATTTAGAGCTGAGAGGCGCAGAGCTCGTACGCGCTCCAGACAGATGTGTCCTGAGCACGGTCACAGTAACATTCTCAAAGTTTCGCCACCCCAAAAACAAAGTTAACATGTGATCATTCATGTCGGCTCATATCCTTTAATTATTTCTGTCTTTTATTTGTGTCTGATGCGTTTCGCTGCTGCGGAGCGGAGTGCATCACCAGTTTTGTCCTCCGGTGACGCATCTTACCGGTGCGGCCGGTGCGCACTCTGCTATTTTTGCGGTCCGTAGATCTTTTTAAACTACAGTTAATTTATGAGGTGAAAAACATGAAGACATGTAGCAGTTTTTCATTAGGATTGAGAGGAGATGCAGGAAGATAACAGAGACAGGACAGAAAAATAGTCAAATAAATACAAGTTCATTTTTGTACCTGGTGGTTGCAACAAACAGACACAATTGCAAATAATCAGAAGTGAGGAACAGAAAATGAAATAATTCTTTCAATGTTTAGAGCAGCAGGAACTCTGAGGCTGCAGGAATACCAGAGAGATTGCGGCTGCTGCGCAAGAAGAGGAGGGCTGAAGCAGGGGAACAGTAATGATTCAAAAACTACTGTTGTTGAAAGAAATGTGTTTTAACTTGAAAATGTGGGCGCAATTTTTAATTGTCAAAAACTCCAGCGAATCAACCGGAACAACCCCCCACCCCCACCCCGTGCGTGCTACGACATCTATTTTGCCTTTAGTGAAGTTTGGTGTGACGTCACTTTTTACGTTCCGGGAACGTTTCATTTCCGAATTAAGCACTGGTTTGGTGCCAGGTCAACATGCAAAAAATCTTATCTATTTTACCACCCTCCAGTCCAACTAAAGAGCTACACCAAAACCTTCACTTAGATATTTTTTGTTACAGGCAGAAACAACATTCAAAACCCGTCTTAAAACTCTACTCTGCTGGATTGTTATTTTAAATTGTTTTATTGCGACGTTATCTAGCCGTCAAATAGCACCAACCTTCATGTTCAGTTGATGATGCAACGTTAATGTTCTGTCCTGCTCCTCCTTTGTCTGCATTGCATAAGCCTTCTCAAAACTGCGCTCACATTTGCCATGATGAGCTGTCAGTTTCTTCAAACGCTGAATGTGATGACTGTCTTCCTGGAAAAGAAAAGACAAAGACCTAACTGTTTCACCTTTTAAAAAACAAGCGTTTAAACATTTTACTAAGAGCTTATATTAGAACTTGGTTCCAGGTTCAGTCAACTTAATTCAGTTTATTTCTCCAGTGCTTATTCACAGCAAACGCCATCTCAAGGCACTTTACAGGACAGACATTTCTATATATTTGCTCAGTTCTAAAGTTTTCTATCCCAGACAACTGTTTAATTGCCCAGCAGTTGTGACCCTGACATGCGGATTCAGCCCAAGCAATCCCTCTCACTAAAAAGCATGAAGCAACAGTGGAGAGGGAAAAACTCCCTTTTAACAGGAAGAAACCTCCACCAGAACCATGCTCCGTACCAGCAGTCATCTGCCGAGACCGTCTGATGGTTGGAGGAGACAGAGCAGAGACACAGAAAGAATAACAGAACTGATGCAGGAGCAAAAGTTCACAAGTTGACAGGGAGAACATTCAACCACTGGAGCACCAGCCCAGTGAAGGCCCTCGTTCATTGAGGCATCCCGCTGAGCAGAGATCCAGATCAGGTTAGCAGTTGTAATAACAGCAAATAATGCAATTAAGGAATTGTAAAAGGGAAGAAAACGAGTCAGTGTCTTCCAACAGCATAGCCTAAAGCAGAAGCTATTAACAGTAATCTGTCTACCTGTAAGCTTTGTCAAAGAAGAAGATTTTCAGCCTACTTTTCAAGACAGACATGTTGTCTGCTTCACGAACCAATCCTGGGAGCTGGTTCCATAGGAGAGGAGCCTGGTAGCTGAAAGATCTGCCACCCATTCTACTTTTAGAAATCCTAGGAACTACCAGTAAACCTGCAGTCTGAGAGCTAAGGGCACTGTTAAATTGAAAATGGCAGAAAGTCATACCATCTCAGCACTCTTGAATCACAATTAGGACAGAAGTATAACCCCATATAACCTAGTTGCCTGCTGAGGAGGCAATTTAGCATATAATTCAGGTGTGTTGAAACTGGAACACAAACTTTGCAGAACACCGACCCTCGTGGATTGGAGTTTGACACCCCTGTCCTATCTGAACCATGTTAATAGCAATCCATGTTTAGGCTTAATCCCATGTGACATCCTTACCCCTTTGTGTAAGCCCTTAATACTTAAACTTATGATTGGCAGAAGAGTAATTTCAATCTCATCAGAACCAGCTTGAGGAAGAAAAAAAGACAGATGAGAATCAACACCAGTAGGAGTTTCAGTTAATTGCTAATGTTTATACTGTATGCAAAACACTTATTCTAATTATTTATTTAGGAATTGAGTCATAAAGAATTGATAGCAAATATTATGTAAAACTGAGAAAGCTTTGAGGTCCTCAAGGAGTGGTTAAAGGGCTATACAAATGCTGGCCATCTACCATTTTCAAATAAATTTCGAGAGACAGCAGGCTCAAATCGTGTCTGTGGCAGCCAGTCACGGACAGCCACGAGATTCCTGGAAGCCAGCCGCGGACAGCCACGAGCTTCCCAACCACCAGTTGCTGCAGCCACGAGATTTCAGCAGTCAGCCACGAGATTTCCGGCAGCCAGTCGCGGCAGCCACGAGATTTCCAGCAGCCAGCCGTGGCAGCCACGAGGTTTCCAATTCCAACGAGACCTAAAGCCTAATTCAAGCTTCCCCGTCTGCATCAGTGCGGAGACACGCAACACCATTATCCGTCCTTGCGTAGGGCCCCTGGCAGGCACGCAAGTACGTACGGAGTTGAGCCCACTATTATAAACATCCATCCGTCAAGACGGAGAGCGCAAGCTTGTGATTGGTCAGGGCACTGCTGTCGCTCACTACTACATAAATCAAAATGGAGTATTTGTCTCTGCTGCTGAATTATTTCAAAGAATCTAATCTGATTACTTATTTTGTTACTATTCCTTATGGCAATGTAAAAAAATCAGAAATATTGGAAAACTTTCAATTCTCAAATTTCATTTTATCTTAATAGCAGATGTGGGTTTTTATTTTTTATTTTGGTTTATATTTTTTTCTTATGTATTTCAGTTTTAATTTGTTAATTTCACTCCAATAATTTTATTAGTTTTTGAATGTTCTTTATAGATTATAACTTTTGTGAATTTGCTTGTACAACTTTTGTTTGTTCAATAAAGTTCTTTTAAAAAATCATGGCAATGTTGTTATATCATGATACAGACAAATTATAATCACGCCAACTGTAAAGTTATTTTACTGCAAAGCTTTTCACCTGCAGTGAAAACCCAGAAATCATATGTAAAACACTGAAAACTAGAGGTTACAACAACAGCTCAGAATTATATTATTTTCACTGGAACTGCACTGATTGATTTTTTTGTCTCTCTTATGTGGTTATGTTGCCTAAACGTCTGACTTTAAATTCAATATCAGTCTTTCGGATTTAATTACGTAAAAAAAAAACGAGGCTGCCACGGGACTTAAAGTAGCAACTCTGGGAAAAATATATAAATCAACCCGTTGCAAGTGGCAATTGTTGCTAAAAAAAATTCTCGCTTCGTTGCAATTCTCGTGGCTCTCCATGGCTGGCTGCTGGAAATCTCGTGGTTGTTGCTGGAAATCCCGTGGCTGCTGCGACTGGCTGCTGAAAACCCCGTGGCTGTTGCTGGAAAACTTGTGGCTGTATGTGGCTGTTACCGGAAATATCATGGCTGCCGTGGCTGACAGCCAAAAATTTAGTGGCTATTGCTGGAAAACTCGTGGCCGTCCGTGGCTGTTACCGGAAATATCATGGCTGCTGCGACTGGCTGCCGGAAATCCCCTGCCTGTTGCTGGAAAACCCGTGGCTGGCCATGGCCGTTGCTGTTGCTGAAAATCCCGTGGCTGTCTGCTGGAAATCTCGTGGCTGCTGTGACTGTCCGTGACAGGCTGCCACCACCATGATTTGAGCTCAGCCCTGCTGTAATTTTCTCAAAAATTCAAGGCATTTGTAGGGAAAGTCAGCATAAACCTGCTTATAGCTTAAGTAACCTACACAACACAGTACTTTATTTTTACTGACCTGTTACTTAAATATTCAAGCAAAATTCATTGCCCCACAAATTTGGATAAATTGCTTTGATTGGTTATCTTGACTAATTTGTGGGTCAGCAATCATTTATTTAAATTGGATGTTGCACTTACAAGTGAGGAGTAGGTTGGGAGGCCATCCGGGGTTCAATATTTTGCTTGGAGAAACTTCAGTATCTGACCTGGTAGACACAGACTCATCCAAGTAGGCACGCTGCACTTCATGAGCCGCAGCTCTCCCTGTTATACATTTAGTGTTAGTGTTAAGACAATTCTAACTTAATTTCCATTTGGATGCATGCTTTTCCTTTCATACCTTCACATTTAGATTCGTCATCAGATCCGGAACTCTGCTCACTCTCCTGTCAGTTACACAAAATATCAATCAGTAATCTGTTATAATGTAAAAAAGAATTCAAATAATTGTTTTTATGGCTTCATTTCCAGTGTTGCAGTTCTAAATACAGTTTTGAAAAAAAAATTTTTTTACTCCAACGCAGATCAAAATTTAATCAAAGCCTACTCCTGAGTTCAGCTTGGAGCACACAAGATATGTACATATGTAGACGTTTCACAAGTGATTAACACCAAAGTATTGAAATTTAAATTAACACATAACATATTATGAAATAAACCAAAAAAATTGTGTGACAATACAATTGTGAAAAACTTAAATAATGTAAAAAATAATTCCAATTAGTTTGAAATGTTTTACATTAAACTTTTATCTATTTCATGTTTTAGTTATTCAAAATTGAACACTTCAGTGTTCCACACAAAAGAAGTTCAGTTTGCTGCATATTATGTTGCATTACCACTGCATGCTTCATCTGGGGCAAAGCACCGCAGAGACGCAGCTGCACTTTAACCTCACAGACTTTACATAGAATCTGGTTGCTCCTGCCACTTTGGGCAGTGTGAATGCAGCATTTAGGAAATTAAGCAAAAACAGTATTTTTTAAACATGGAATAATTTTTATGAAGTTCAACATTTTAGATAATAAACAACATCAGATATACTAAGTAATTGAATTAAAAACTTTAGTAAGACAACACAGCCAGTTACCCACACAAATAACACAGCCAGTTACCCACAATACAAATATTCTTACTACGAGTTGTTTTAAGGCAACATATGATTAACTAGCAGCTTAATATAAGTAAAACTTACCATTTTACTTGGTTCTCCGCCGCATGTCTACTCTTCCTGAGGCACAGTGTGGGTCTGCCACTGCTACCGCTCTGCAGGTGTTCATGTTGAAAGGGAGCGCTCGATCTAAACTCGAGCGCACACCAGCATGGCAGTCTCACTTAAATTCTTTTTCACATACCTTTTTGATTGTGCAGGAAAAAACCTAATCATTATTGTAGGTGAAACTAATTAGGGAGACTACTGTTGACAGACAGATGCTCCTGTAATGGTTTTATAGCTTAATGTGTTCATGGAAGCCTGGCCAATACTGAAGGGGTGGATAAATTCAACGCCTCCTTTTCATTAGCCAGCAGTTAGCTAACAGCATGCTTTCACATGTGCAAGCAGAGAGGGGGATGGGCATGGTTATAGTGGGGACCTAAAATGTCCGGATCTGTGTTAAATGTATGAGCTTTGCAACCCAAAGCACCTCCAAATTTAATATTTCATAGCCATGACATTTGTTTAAATAGTTTTTTTTATTAAAAATGTTTTCTTGAAATTATTACCTTAAATGAAATTAGAAATTAGAAAACTAAAAACATAAATATTTTGTAGATACATTTATTATGACATTTATGATTCAAAGTATGAATTGAAATTCTTACATTGTACCACAACACCCCAACATGCCTTAAATAAAAAGAAACTAATATACAAAAAAATAATAAAATAAAGAATTTTTTTCCTCCCTTTCTCTTAATTTTATCTGATCATTAAATGTATTTACAATGTGTGTGGTTTCGCTGTGTACTATAGAAACCTTAACCAGTATAGCAGTCTATTGTAAAAATGCAGCAACTCATTGCGTACTGTGCAAAATTATAATGACCAATAATAATTTCAGAGTAAATCATGTATTAGTCAAATCACTACCAGCATGATACTATAAAAATTCACAATACTATATTAAAAGTTATAATGAAGGCCTACTTTTAGGAAATGACAGCAACCTGCTATTGTAAAATTTCACTGTATCATAATGTGGATGTTCAGAGTATTACCTGTAATGTAGGCCTACTAGAACTGTGCAGTGATATAACTGACATATACATATCATGTTTGGTGTATTTTCAGTATTAGAACTACAGGGAAAGTTGACTGGATTTTTTGGCTTTTGGGTAAAGATGGATGGGGCCCCATAACGTTACAGATAGCTGAAGAGCTTAGATGAAGCATAAAGGGTGGTTTCCACCGCTGCCATCTTAGCTACTAAAGATGGTGGAGGTGAGAGTGAGAACGTTGAGTGGGTGAGCGGACAGTTGACAACCATAGCAGTGAGCCGGTGGAACTAAACTGAGCTAACCCGGTGCTAACCTTGACCTAACAAGATTTGGCAGGCAATTTTAAGCAGAGAACCGCAACTCTGCTTCCTAAGCATAAACAAAAGAATGTTAAATCAGCTTAATCATATTCATTATCTAGAGCATCTTTCCTTCGCAGGGTGGCAGTGTCAGCTGCTGGTTATCTCCAGCCAAGAAACGACCACAGTATTACTGTGACTGCGAGGCTTGGGCCTTGTGGAGCAGCAGGCGAGCCTCAGCCATCTACGGGGTAGCTGTTAGCCACTATAGCAACCAGCACTAGTGCTGACGTCTAAGCCACAACCCTAATTATTTATAATATCAAGATTAAATTACATCTAAATGGATGAGTTATAAAACAAATCACCTGACTCAGATTGGTCATGAAGGTAAACTGAATATGATTTTTTTAACAAGGCAGTAAAGATCTTTCTCCTGTGAAGTTAGCATGATTAACAATGGGAATTTGTTCCTTTCTGCAGCCAGCCACCAGCCAATATGGGGAACTGCAATTGTTGTCACTTCAACGGTAGGAACAGTCTTCAGAATCAGAGGTTGGGGCTTGGTACAGACCTGAATTCAGGGACTCGGATGGTCCCCGAAATGGCCCCAAAAACGATCTGGTTGGCTACAGTGGAGATACGCGAGTATGGGACGTTCTGGTCGAATTACCGGGAATTCCGATTGTGGAAACACACCTATTGTGTACATGACAACTGAAAACTTTCTCCAGCTCAACCAAGGCAAAACTGAAGTTTTAGTCATCGGTCCTGAGGCCCAGAGAGAGAAACTTTTACCTAAACTACAATCAATGTCTTTTTATCCATCACTACAAGTGAAGAATCTGGGTGTTATTTTCGACTCTGAGCTGACTTTTATCCCCCATATTAAAAACATCACAAAAATAGGTTTTTACCATCTTAAGAATATCGCCAGAGTCCGCCCCATTCTCTCTCGGGCCAATACGGAGACGCTAGTGCATGCTTTTGTAACCAGTAGAATTGATTACTGCAATGCCCTGCTTTCTGGTCTTCCCAAAAAGAGCATCTCAGGTTTACAACTCTTACAAAACTCAGCAGCACGTGTCCTGATGAAGACCAGGAAGCGGGAGCACATCACTCCGGTTTTAAAATCACTGCACTGGCTCCCCGTATGTTTCAGGATTGATTTTAAGGTTCTTTTAATGGTTTTTAAGTGTCTTAATGGTCTTGGGCCTTCTTATCTTTCAGAACTGCTTTTACTGTATAAACCCTCGCGGTCTCTGCGCTCCTCTGGCAGCCGTCTCCTAGTTATCCCTAAAGTTAAGACTCACACCCACGGCGAGGCGTCCTTCAAGTACTACGGCCCTCGCCTTTGGAACGGGCTGCCGGAGGACCTCAGGTCCGAAGGGAACATCCAGGCTTTTAAGAATAGGCTCAAGACCCACCTTTTTAGCTTAGCTTTTAACTGATTACTATTTATCTATAAATACATATTTATCTCTCTTATTATTTTTATCATTTTATATACATCTTAGTGTTTTTATATGATTATGTTTTCTTTTACTATCTTTATAATCACTTTTTATCAGTTACTTTTTATCATTATTAGCTTTTATTATTTTATATGTTATATATCTTAAATCCTCCAGTGTTTCCTCTGCGGAGCCCTCTGCCTTGGGGCCGGTGGTCAGGGGCGGCGGCGGCCGGGGCGCTCCCCAGGTAGTGCCCGGGCACTGGTGGGGGTTTCTGCCCTACGCCTCTGGGCGTCATGGGCCGGTGTCTTGGCTGCTGCCGTGGATCTGTTGCTGCCAAGGCAGATGGCTCCGCTGATGATGTGTCGTTCATTACCTGACCCATCTGAACTCAGCCTATTGTTTCCTCTGGTGTTCACGAGTGTGTGTGTGTGTGTGTGCGTGTGTGTGTGTGTGTGTGTGTGCGGGTGATTGTATGTCCACTTTGGAAGTTGGGTGCGGGAGGGGAACTGTAATTTTTAATTGTTTTATACTTGGGGAGGGGGGCTGGGATGGGAATGTGGGATCTATGGGGCCATTTTAATCTGTAAAGCACTTTGAGTTGCATTTTTTGTATGAAAAGTGCTATATAAATAAAGTTGATTTGATTTGATTTGATAAGTGAGTGTTGAGCGGGTTCCCTGCCATGGAATTCTACATTGCTGCTCTTCTGTGGTTTTACAATCAGTATTAAAGAACTCAATGGATTGATTTATTGAAATAAAACGAACGTGATGTGGGCCATTCCACTGAATGGGTGCCATTTCCATCCATTTCTGTCCCCATGAAATTATATGTATAAATGTGCAGGAAAATAACTGGTAAATACATTTTGTTATTGTACCAAAGGTCTTGCATAATGATCTGCGTGCAAATTTAATAAATATGATGGGCAGGATTAATAAAAACTACATTGGAAACACTGAACACACTTAGGCTCCTCATGAGGTTCTAACCCCTAAATTCCACTACCTCCGCTCCGCTGCGCTCCGCTCCGACACGAACGCCGGAGCAAAATCGGTCCCGTTGTAGTCAATCAGAGCAATTCCACTACTGTGGCCATGCTCCGGCAGTGTGGCGCCGTGCGCCGCCCTCTGTTCCGGCAAAAATAGAATCAATCCTATTTTCACCGGACGCCGGAGCACCTCCGCAGTAAATCGACAGAAATCACAACGGCCCAACAGGGAAAGGAGCGAGCACAATTTCCGTTTTTCACAATAAATCGATAAACAAAAGGCGTTTTTTGTTTCATATGCACAGGTTTAACAACTTTTAACAACTATCAATGGCGGCTGAAGTTTAAATGCACAAAAGTAAGCCATAAATACAGTTTCTACTATCAAAGTAGTCACACTTTGTTGATCCAAACACTGCTGATCTGTCAACACAAATGATGGGCAGATTAAACAGCTCATGCCGATGTTTCTCCCACACAACAGGTGTTTGGATCTAACTTCCGCGTTTACTGCTCGGACTGTATCGCAAGATCTCGAAAATCCCGCACATGCCTGTTTGCCCACCTCAGGTCTCCGCACCGGAGCGGAGCCGTTGTAGAGCGGGTACCAGTAAAAATTGAGTTCGGAAGCGAGCGGCTGCGGAAGGCGGGGGCGGACCAGAGCGGAGGTAGTGGAATTAGGGGGTAAGGTGAACCCTATTTTCCTTTCATCTCGTTCCGACTGCTTGCATCTACATACTATTTGCTCATAAAAAATAAAAAAAATTGTACTGAGTTCAAAAGTAAAACTTTTTTCAGAGTTTAGAAAAGAAAACATGGCTGTAATAGAGGGGAGTCACACTCAGTGGTTCACTGGGATGAAACCTTGACTGCCATATATACGGATGCCATTGCAGTTTCCTTACAATGTTCATTATGTCCTCTTTTTAAATGTTCAATGAGGTTCTTTTTGTCCCAAGCAAAAAGAACATCATTTAAAAAAACTGAGATGTCATTGCAGGTTCAAATCCCCATCTTGGTTTTATACTTCTTGCCATACGGATGGTCAGTGGTCAGTGTTCTAAGTTGGCAGTAGTTAGTTTTGACTGTATTAGAAGGCATAAAGCATTTGTTTGTTTTAGTGAATGAGAAAAAATACTCAGAGCAACACAGCAGCTTGCTGTGTTATAGTAGGGAGGACATAGTGATTTGTTGCTGTAGGTTTTAACTGAGCTGTTCTCCAGAAAGTGATTTTTGAGTCCAAACAACTTCCTCTCTGTCCATTTTATGAACGGTGCCCCCTTTCATAAAATGTCTATGTATAGATTTAATTAATTTCCAATTCTCAAGAAATTAGACTGGCTCAGCCCTTTTAAAGACTTTTTCTAAATGTTTACCTTAATTAGATGACTGAAATTCAATGATGCAACACTGGGTCATTATATGACGATTCGGTAACAGTTCAATGTAAAAATAAGGCTATATAAGTTAATAAGGCTGTCTGGACTTTAGTTCCTATTATCTTTTTAAAAGGGGCAAAATGTATCAAATGTATCAAACAACAAAAAAGCTCTTTTTATTTATAATGTTTTAAGAACTCGCCAAGACCCACTGAAAAAGTTTCATGCGTTTTTGAGGTTTATTGACCATATATAAAAAGTTTAGGTTCACTGCTTATATTGAATTTTAAAATATTGATTTTATAATTATAAAATAGGATTTGTTTTATTCAAGTATATTTTACTCCAGTACTTAGCTTTTATCTTGCAGTAAAATTTGTTTTGATGTCTATCATGAAAAATGGAAACCTAATCAAAAATGTATTGCTGTACTGCCATTCTCCTTCTGACCAGTAAATGGCGCAATAGAGCAAATAAATATTAGCTGGCATTCCAATTCTGACCAGTAGATGGCACCACCGAGTGAAGAAACACATACACACTTCAAGAACACCAAAGCCGATGGGGACTGCAATATTGTGTGTTACCACTAGGGGCGCATGGCTACACACACACACTGATTTTGGTTTGAAAATGCTCACATGGGGACTTTAGAGAAATTTGCATATTACGTTTCTATGCACTGTTTTTAAGCTTCCTATGGGGTTGTGCCTGTGGGGACCTCAAAAAAGTCCCCATGGGGAAATGGGTCCCCATGAGCATGCAGACAGTCAGGCCAAGTTCCCCACGGGGTAGGTAAAACAAGTACACACACACACACACACACACACACACACACACACACACCCTAGGTAATGTGTAATTTCCTCCAATATCCTGTGGTGTCAGTTTCACAGGTGTTAACGAGGCCCTCTGTGCTTGGCTGCTTCCACATTTAGACCTGAGTTTTAGAAATACTGACAGCACTGACTCTGTGAGCAATTCCCAACATTTTATTGAGCAATTCAGAAATGCAGTTTGTTTCAAATAATTGAAAACACAAACATTTATGTTATTACTTAAAATAATGACAGCTGATTTAATGCAATCCCACCAAAATGTCAGTAATATAACTTAATTCACTAAATAACTGTTATCTATTTGGACTCTTTGTATTTGACACATTTGCATTTGTGTTCATATTAGGAGTCTGTTAAGCAAATTCTGTGGTTAACAATTTTAATGTCATGTTTTTGTTCAATCAATCAATCAATCACAATTTATTCAAAAGATGAGGTTTGTTTCACTGGATCAAAAATGGCCTCTAAATGGTTAGTTTAAAGTTGTGATCACAAAATTTTTGTATGAATTAAACTGGAACTAATTTATAAAACTAAAAAAAAAATTGAGAAAAACTTAGAAAATTTAGATTTTTATAGCAGTTTGTTTTTTGTAAGAAAGAATTCCAAAAACATGCAAAGGTGCGCAGTAAGACGTGTAATCTCTTAAACCTTTTATATATTGTTTTCAGCTGAGTCTAAAAAACAATTTAAGTTCAGTTTCCAAGTTCCAAACATCCCGGACAAGCCCCTAATTTCTGTCATGATCTTGCATGTATGGAAGAAACATACTTTGAATTATTTAAGACTTTAAAAATGAAGACAGTCATCTGAGTTAGAAAGTCAGTCCTCCCAGTGGTGGTCTGAGTCAAGCCTCACTTACTGGTGCTGCTGGTTAACACAATAAAGGTGATGCTGACTGCTGCACTGTCACTTTAGACAGTCAGGATGCAGAAGAGTGGGTGACTTATGGGCTGACAGCCTGAACCAACCATCCTGCAGTGATGCTACAGCCGTGGTGTTCTTCATGATAAAGATGTGAGAAATGATTACAAAAACAACAAAACAGAGTGAAACCGACAGAAATGTCTGAAATGTTTCTGAGACAATATAATAAGACTTCAAGTTCTTGTGTGCTGTACACCAATTGCTGTGAGCTCCTGAATTTGCTTTTTATTGGATCTCAAACATCGTAAGTGTCTCATGTTGAGTGGGATTAGGGCAGATTCGCTTCAGCTCCACTCCTAAATGGTTCCCTTGTCTGCTGGTGGAAACACCACAGCCCTACCCAGATAAAAGGGTGTAACCTTAAATAATTTATGCATAGAAATGTATGATTCAGAGGCAAAACGATGTGTTTTATTTACTGGTTTCAAAAACCGCATTAGTTATTATTTTTTATGTGATCTCTGTCTTTTTTGTTTCTCACATCTTTCTTTTAAATTCCTCCTTCTGCCTTTTGAAGATTTCTCTTAAATCTCACCCAGGCCGGGTATCATTGTTAAACTTGCCCATAAATTCCTTCCTTCTGTCTTCTCTCTGAGGTCAAAGTCATGTTCGATTGTTTCCAAGCCGTTAAAGTAGCAGAATGACCATTTTGCTACAACTCAGATGCAGTGCTTTCTGAGAAACACAATGTTTCCTTTGGATTTGGAGGTAGGCATACTGTAAATAAAAGCAGTGGCATTCATCAGTTGGAGACGAGTTACAGATTTATTTATACGTGAAGGAAAACCTGACTTCATTGGTTTTAATCCCCCACCGAAGCACAAAGATCAAACCTTGCCACCTGCTATTCCCTCCGCACGTAGACCAAACTCGTAGCATAGAGCGCCAACCCTCGACTCAAACCAGTCACCTTCATTTCACTGCTCTCATGCCTTTGTCCTCACCAGAACAACTTGATCGTGTGGAGGAGGGCATGAACAAGGTGAACGCAGACCTGAAGGAGGCCGAGAAAGATTTAAAAGATATAGGACAATGCTGTGGTCTGATATGCCCATGTGTTAAAAAGTAGGTACCGGCGAGGAGCCTGGCGCTCTTGCCTGTCCAGTGCTGGTGGTGGTGATGTCTCATGTCTCTCTTGTCACAGTCTGTCTTTTTTTGTCTCTTCTCCTTTGTCTCCCCCCTTTTTTACTCCCTCCTTCCACCTGGGACCTTTTCCTCCTCTCTTTTCTTCTCATGTGCTTTCGTTCTTTTGCTGGGATAAATGACAATGTGTTACTAATCAGAACAACTGGAGCGCATCGAGGAGGGGATGGACCAAATCAATAAGGACATGATGGATGCAGAAAAGAATCTGAACAATCTAGGACAGTTCTGTGGTCTATGTTCATGTCCCTGTAACAAGTAGGTGCTGCCTGTGTCGCCCGACTGCATGTGTTCCAGTGCCTGCCTGCGTACCTCTCTCTCCATCTGCCTGCTTCTGGTGTGTAGAGCATGGTGTTGTGAGCAGTCAGGCCTGAAGCCAAAACAAAATGCTGTCCGAACAGCCATGAGAGCATGTGTGTGTGTGTGAAATAAGGCTGAGATTAAAGCTTATGTGCATGCATAAATGACATGCATGTGAAACTGCTGTGGTGTTGCAGTAGCTGTGTTCCAGCCTCCATGGCTGCTGAATCCAAAAGCCCTTCATTCCACAATGGATGAGAGATTCTCTTCCAGCAGGTAGCGGCTTCAGCAAGGATCCTGGCCACGGCACCCACCAACCTGTTAAACGCCACCCACTCTAACACCCACTGTAGCATGAAAGTACAGCAACCAAAGTTCACAACCAAAGAATCCAGCCACAAAAAGAGTTCTTACTCAGTTAAATACAGTTTTTACATCCTTTTGGGAGCTAACTTGAGGATTCGTTCTGGTCAATTAAAGCAATAAATAATTAAAAACACTGAATACAAGTTCCAGTGATTAATACCCAAAAGGTTCAGACATAGGAAATCAGACATAGGATTTTAAGTATTGAAAATGGGCCAGAGGTTTAGAGAGTGACCCAAGTGTTGGTTTGTCTCAAAGTTTGATGCTTCACTGTGTTTTTGTTTGAGTGATTTACTGAATTACTGTACTGAAAAGTTCATTAGGTTTATGTAAAGACTCAGTGTTTACAGTATTGGTCCGTCATCACTTCACCCTGCAAATTGCCAGTTAACTCCTGGTCCAGATCCTGGCATATGGAGGCTCATTCTTCATCAGTGCTTGGGGCTTTTCAACCCAGTTTTAAGTATTGATCCTAAGTTCTCAACAGGATGGGGCTCAGTGGAAGTTCCTGGTCAGTGCCGATGTTTTGTTACCATAGATACTTAGTTTGGACATTCTCCATCTGATCATCATGACCATCCACCTGCTCCATCATGTCAGTGAAGACATTGTCCATCACTAAACAGTTCTTTGATGGTTGAAGGAGTTCCTCTGGTGGGATGTGTAGGTGCCATTCTTTATTCATGTCTGTTCTGAGGCTGCGCTGTGAGAGAGTCCAATCCCCTGGCTCAGAAGTACCACCCACACATGAATGGTCTCAGAATGCTTTGCTGTTGGAGGACACGAGACAGAAGCGATGGAAGACCTCGCCGTTTTTCTTCAGATGATCTCAATTCTGGATCTCCTAATCATTTAGATAAAAGGAATTTCCTCCTTGTCCCCAGCAGGCTAGTGATGGGACTTATGACTCTTTTAAGGGAGTCATTCTTTGGAGAGCCATCCACCTCAAAGGGCCAAGCAAAGCAGAGCAATTTTCATTGGGGGGTGGCAAGATGTCAGTCGACGAGTCCCGCCAATGTCCTTGAAAGGTCAGGTGTGGTACATGTCACTGATGTACATGAAAGCGCGCAAGTGTGAGTATGCCGGGGGGGTGAGGGTTTAGCGTTGGTGAGAGTTGGTATGCGCTACTGGGAGAGAAGATGAATAGTTGTCTACAGAGACTCAGCTCGCATTGTTCACTTTGAAGAACCGTCCAAAAGATTTGATTCGTTTGTGAACGTCACATCACCACAGCAGACCAATCTAAGGACCTTCAGCAGAACATCAGCCTTTCCCTGATGGGTTTCTTTGAGAGAAATTGCTTCTATTTTTAACCTTCTTAACATCAGGTGTTCTCCAAAAAGTCACATTTCCTCAGATATTCTCACACCTATATCTGGCCATTCCTGAGCAAACTGCTCTGGTGGTGCTCCGGATTCATTCGTCACTCTTCAGAACATTCTGGAGTTTCTGCTAATTGTCCTCATGAAACCTGAAGCAGCAAACTCTGTTACAAATGAATGTGCCATTCTCACATCTTTAGCTCACAGTCACATAAGCATGTAGAACACTGCATGCAATACTTCACACTGGCCCTTTTGTGCCTCAGTCTACATGCATTTGTTCTGTTGCTTGAAATTTACAGTTTGTACCACTAGGTGGCATCGCATCCTAAACACTGGGCCTTTAAATGCTGCATGCTGCTAAACTCTATGCTTTAAAACCTGAACCCTCACACACATTGTAACTACAGGATGCCTCAGTCCCCTTCCTCAGAACATTTTATATCATCACACACAAATTTGGCAAACTTGTTCCTCTACCTGAGAGGAAATCTTAACGTTAAATTGTCTTAAACAAGTTTTCAACAAGCTTAAATGAATTGCTAATGCCAGTTTTGTCAAACTCTTGTGTGATTTGTACTTTCACCCTCAACAGCCAAACTATGGCCTCTGAGTCATGTCTGTGCACCATACACTCTTACTCTAAATAATGTTCTAAGAGCTATAGAAAACACAAGTAATGGCAACATTAAGGGAAAAACAAAACAGAAATAAAACATGAGCTATAGTTCTTGTTTTGTGGTCAGGTTCCTACAGATGATCTCCAAGGCCTGTATCTCACTGGATTGAGACTGTTGGCAACTAGTTGGAGACAAAAAAAAAAAAAAAAAAACAAATAGCAACATTTACGTGAGATTTATGTGTAAATGTTCATTCAGTTTGTCCTCTGCTAATTGTCTGTTTCGTTGTGTCTGTCGTGCACTTGAAAATGGACGTTTTCTGATATTTTGTCCAGTCAGCTACACCAGAGAGGATCCAGATGCACCAGTGCTTCCAATTATTTTGAAATGAAATTTTGAAAGGCTCAGCGAGTCACGCGGGGACATAAAGAGCTCTTGCAAGCATTTAAAGACATTTTGGAAAGTGAACTCCCTCCTGAAGACTATCTGCAACCTGATGCCAACGGTCACAACCCAAAACAGATACTGCTGCCTTCATGATGAGTTCAATTAAAACCATTACAAACGTTTACTGGTTAAACAGTTTTCCTGATGAATTGAACTGTTAGTTTTAGAGTATTACCTGTATAGCTTTGTTAAATGTCAGCCATGTTTCCACTATAGGACTTCTGGAAAATTTCCATGGGGGGAAAAGTGGCCGGTAGATACGACTGCTCTGTCCTCTCAGCCGTGGTGTCTCCATACGAAATCACTCCATTCAGCCAATCACGACAGTGAGTGATGTCACTGATCAGAGGCAACAGGTGTCAACAAACATTAAAAGTTTTATTCTGTCAGTACGCTGTAATTTAATCATTCAGGGGACGGGGAGAGCGGCTGTGTGATGTCAAAAGCGTGCTGTTTTTACGCTGATCTGTGAGACCACGCTGTGAATTACCGTGCTGTGGGGGATTTCTGCCTCATTTTCAGTTTTTGGAGATTAGAGGCATCGTAGGTTTTAAAGCAGCACTGATGTTGCATCTTTTCTTTCCTTCGATTCTGCTTCACCAGCAACTCTTCCAATTTTACAAATGCTGGCTGATTTGGCCACGTCTGATGACGTAATTTCTTACTCCGTTACAACCAATCAGCAAGAGCTAACCACAAGTCCTGCTCAGCGACTCTACCGGGTCATTCTGAGTACAAATCCCAGTTCAGGCAACAGAAAACGGTCCTTTCGGACTGGCCTGATGAAATGGAGACATGCAGCGAAGGCCTGGTGAAATGACCCGGAAGTTCCGACAGTGGAAACGGGCATATTGAGTTTAAGTGTTACACTTAAACAACAGGTCATCATTTTCTCCAGAACTGAGCTGAACAGGGTCCTGACAACATTTTTAAAGGTGTGCATTTTTTTTTTACCTAATAACATGATTTTGGATGATTTCTGGTTGGGTCTCTGACTCCATTTGGTTCACGATGGTCCTGCCTCCAGGTATAACTGTTCTGGGTTCAGATCTTGTTTATTCTATAGCTCTTTAGTCCTTTCTTCCATGACCCACCTGTAACCCTGTGGTCGTTAAGTCATGCCTGTAATCTAATCTAGACATCCTCAGTGGTTCCCAGTCCTCAGCATTGACCTCAGCGTTAGCTGGTCAAAGTAAAGTCACAACATTTATGAGACATTTAACAAAGAGGCTTTTCAAACGTTGTATTGTTTTGTTTTTTTAATCGATTTATGATCACTATGTTCATCTACCAGCTAAGGTTAAATAAGTAATTTAAAAATTAATTTGTTGTCTGCACATCTTCTCCAGAACCTCCAATCTGGTGTTTCATGACCCACATTGGGGTCCAAGGCCCAGCTTTGGGAACCACTACCTTTATTACAGCCCTGGGTCAGAAAGCAGGAAGGAAATCCTTCTTGCTTGAAGGTTTATCTAGAGGGCCTGAACGGTGTGATCTGGCTGCTCAAGGCGACACATTATCCTGCAAGGGGGTCACCTATCGAACATTTTTAATTGCTACATTTACCAGATACTGTTTCCCACAATGAAGACCTTCAACTGTCAAAACACCATTTGTTTCCCTGACCCGCAGATCTGTCCATCCTCATGAAATGAAGGGCTGATCACAACGACCATGATTGACTGTTTTATGTTTTTTCTTTTCTTTTCTGTTGGATTTTTTGCTGTAATGGATCTAATTGCTCAGGTTTCTTTTAATAGAGACAGCATGTGTCTGGTCCTGTCCCCTCTGTGTTTCTGCATGTCCATTCTCCATGTTTCTGTGTGTGTCCTGTGTGCTTATTGTCTTCTGTGTTTGTGAGTTTTAATGTCTTTCAAAGCTTAAGGATCAAGCTTTTTCCATGTTCAATTGATCTGCATGTTAGATCAATTATTCACCATCTATCAAATGCATGCATGTAATTAAACCATAATTGGCAATTGTGTTGCTTTCAGTAGGATGATAAGTTTACCATATTGCTAAACATATATTAATATATATATATATATATATATATATATATATATATATATATATATATATATATATATATATATATATATATATTGGTAGTGATCTGTGCATGCACAGTGACAGGTAACCTACACTGATGCTCTCACTCATATTCACCAACCAGCTAACAGAAAAACACTCATCCAGACACATTTGTTAACATTTACATAAACTGGTGCACAGTTTGACAGCCTCAGCGTCTGACTGGAGTGTGTTTATGGTAGGATTAAGGGCGGGGGCCAAGCCTGGGGAGGGAACCAGGACGGAGTGGTGAACAGCCAGCCGGGTGCTCGAGTGGTAGATGAACGTGAACAGATGGCCATCAGTGGGGGCTTCATCCGCAGGTACACATACATCACTCTTTTGTTTCTGAGGTCCAAAAGTAATTATCAAGTACAAAAAGGTGAGCGGTAAAGTTTACACAACATGTTCAGGAGTAATTTAACCCTCTGAGGTTCTGGTTAAATGTTTGGCAAAGCACATTTTTGTGGACGTTTGTATAAAAGGTTAGATGTTAGGGTGAAGGGACTCATAGACACGATTTTAGTTACACTCTACTCTCAGTTTATTTTATATATTTGAAGCAACATGTTCACATTAAAGAATAAGTAGCAGAAAGTGTTAAATGAATTTTATAAAAGATATTTTTTGTAATGTTTGATATTATCGGTCTACTGTTATTATCGGCCGATATCTTTGTTTTAATGTAATATCAGAAATGATCAGAAACAGAAGGGTTTTATTGCCATATGTGCAAAAAATCACAACATTAGGATATTGCTGCAGTACTTGAAGGAGGTGTACAGGTCCTGTATGGAGGGGAGTTTGCAGCCAATGACCTTCTAATCAGAGCGTACGAGACGCTACAGTCTCTTCATGTCCCTGATGGTAGCTCCAGCATACCATTCGATGACTGTGGTGTAGAACTGCCTTACCGACTGTGCTGGCAGGTTGAATTTCATCAACTGTCTCAGGAAGATCATCCTCTGCTGGACCTTTTTTATGACAGAGGTGATGGTGGGCTTCCACTTGAGGTCTTGGATGATGGTGGGGCCAAGGAAGCAACATGAGTCCACGTGAGTCGTGATGGGAGTGCCAAACAGGGTTATGGGGGAAGTGGGGCTGCATGCTTCCTAAAGTCCACAACAAGCTCCGCTGTCTTCTGGGTGTTAAGCACCAGACTGTTGTGGCTGCACCAGGACACCAGTCATTCGACCTCCATTCTGTGGGCAGACTCATCCCCGTCAGAGATGAGTCCAAAGACAGTGGTGTCATCTGCAAACTTGATAAGTTTGACAGACTCGTGGTTGGAGGTGCACCCGTTGGTGTGCAGGGAGAAGAGCAGAGGGGAGAGAACAAAGCCCTGAGAGGAATCGGTGCCAATGGTCAGCCGAGACATTCTTACACAGCCTCACTTGCTGCTTCCTGTCCATCAGGAAATCAGTGATGATGAACAGCATCCTGGCGTAGGTACTAGGGGAGTCCAGATGCTGCAGGATGAAGTGTATCCATGTTGATGGCATCATCTACAGACCTGCTGGCTGTGTAGGCAAACCGCAGGGGGTCCGTCAGTGATCCGCCTGCAGATAGGGTCAGGCACGTTGATCTGGGACAATTTTCAACAAAACTGCCTGACTTAAAATGAAATGGTTTTCATCATTTGCACAGATAACATTTAAAGTTTAAATGTGTGGAACACTGAAAAAACATTTTTATGATTATTTCTGATTGTGCAGTTTTTAATGCAGGCTGAACATAAAAAATGTCTCCTAAACTATTTCCTGCATTAGCTTCTGATAGAAATAAGATGGTGAAACTCCAGGATTTGAAAACCCTGACAGATCTGCATCATATTGTGAATTGGACTTACCCATTTTGACTCACGGTGGGGAAAGCAATTGTTTTGGTGTCAGCAGACAGCATCTTTTTCAGCAGAAGCTAAAAGCTAGCATTAGCAACTCAAACACAAGGCTGAAGCTCCTCCAACTTGTTTTTTGCAAAGATGAAACATCCATGTCCGATCTGATGCCGCAGACTGGTCTTGCTGGGACAAGAGTTTGTGGGATTTTTTGTCCCTGAGTTATGCCTGCAAGGCATTCATTCCTACTAAAGACCACTGCAAGTTTACTGATTAAATGAGTAATCCACAACTTCAAGTAAGCCTCAGAGGAGCTATGTGATGCGAGAGGGACCCAGAATATATTGATATCAGTTTATGTTAAGAAATAAAGAGTTAGATTATCCGGTATCAGTAAAAGCTGATATCAAACATCCCTAGTTGTTTTTACAGTAAAGTATGTAACCAAACTGTTGTATATGTCCATAAGAAAAATAGAAACTTGTAATTGCTGATGTTATCTATTTGAGTTTTGAATGAACATGTCACTGTGATTAACTGTGTTTCTTGTTTAGAGCTCTGGTATCTTGTTACGACCCTGAGCACAAGGTTTGTTATGTTACAGGGTAACAGATGACGCCCGGGAGAACGAGATGGATGAGAACCTGGAACAGGTGGGTGGGATCATTGGCAACCTGCGTCACATGGCCCTGGACATGGGCCAAGAGATCGACACCCAGAACCGCCAGATTGAAAGGATCATGGAGAAGGTACTGCACAGAACCCCCAATCAACACCAACACCATGGGGAATGAGGAAAGCCATTTCTAGGATAGAGGGATGTTTCATGATCATTTTACTTTTTCATTCATGAAAACAAATAAGTTTGATATGTCATCAGGAAGATGCTGATCCAGTGAGTTGGAACAACATAAAATTTACCCCATAGTGGACTAAATCAGCTGTTCTCCAGAACCTGGCTGACTAATATCACATGTGTGCATTTAGGAGACTCTAAAAACAAGCTGAAGACATTCAGAATAATTTGCTTAAATTACTTATTTCAATTTCACTCCAATTTTATGTTATTTGATGGTGACCCTGTCTGACTCATGGAACATACGTAGAGAAGACATTTAAACTGATCCTAGATGATTATGACTACTTTGTTCTTTTTCTGAACATTTTTTGTCCCTCTTTTGTTTAAGTGTATTAAATGTCTAAAATTCTGTATAATTGATAAGCATCAGACCCACGTGACCACTCCGGGGAAAGGCCTCAGTTTGAGCCTCGGCCTCGCCTGAAAACTGTTCCGCGATTTTTAGTCTCTGAACTTAGACCAGTAGTTGTAGCGTTTGTGCGTTCTTTTTTGGATATTATTTGTGCAATTGTTGGACAAAATGACTTGCTGTGGTATTAATTGCACTAATAGAGCGTCCAAGGAGTCTCCACTTCATTTTTTCTGGTAAGTAAAATTATATTTATGTATTTTAGGTCATTGCCGCTTTTTCACTAGCTGAGCTTATCAAAGTAGCTAGCTAACTACCATTTTAACATGTACTGTTTAACCATGAAATTTAGAAGTAATAAGGTAAAATAATTAATAGGATATATGTCGATGGGTGTAAACCCCAGCGCATTTAACATGAAAATGGGTTGAAATATGACATGTTGGTGAAGCTCTCGGAGGGAGACTTCTGTGTTCCATCCTTCCTCCCGGTTCTCCCCAGCGGTCAGCCCGGCGCATCTCTGACCGCTGCGACACCTGTCTGCTGCACGGGCTGACCACTTGTGGAACTCTCGGACTTGGAGAGAGACCTGACCACAGAAATACTGCAGCTCGGTGAGTTGGTTGATAGTGCTTGATGTTAGTCTCCAGAAGTCTGTATGCCATCAGATAAACTCGCTCGTTTTTTTACTTTTTGCATATTTGTAAAATAGCGGTGGTGGGGAGCGACTAAATAACTAATTTGTCCACAAAGAGCCGCGACCGGGTGTCCTGTTCTCATGGGAACTTGTGCAGTTTAATAAAATGGAAATTAGTTAATAAAATAGATTATTAAAAGGTTCATATCCTATCCAAGAAGGCGATAGACTCAAGTGTTTGGTTGTAGATTTTTTTTTTATAAAGTATGCATTTTGTATGACTCTTTATCCTAATTTTAGACCTTTTACTACAGGCTACAATAAGCTATGAAGTATTTTAAACCCATATGCTTAAGTAGTTCTTTGTATGAAGTTTTCCTCTAGGTGATCCAGAGAGGCTTGACCTTTGGGTAAGCAACCAAAGAAGAGAGTGCTGGACTCCCAATTCACACTCCCGCTTGTGCAGTGAACACTTTGAGAGTCATCACTTCACCACGGACTCCAGGGTACAAACACATTACTTCATATTTTGGTTAAGATTGAAAAAATTGAAGCATTAGCTGTATAATATACAGATGTTACATTGCTGTGTAACAAGAAAAAAGTTTCCCCCTCCCTTGAACTGTCTGTGACTGGGGCTGTTTAGATGGGGAAGCAATCACGGTATTAATTTCCATTTAACTCTATGGATATTTATTCTGAGAAACAAATTAACAATTTAACAAAATTAACAAAGTAATAAACAGTCTACTGATGTCAAATAAATCAAACTGTAATTAAAATATAAATTTTCAAAGTCTGGATTCTGGATAAAAGCGAACAACATATGTTTTAAAAATAACAAACACTCTCCACATGGCTTTCTCTCTCTCTCACACACACACACACACACACACACACACACACACACACACACACACACACACACACACACGCATGCATGCCATGCACACACACACACACACACACACACACACACACACACACACACACACACACACAGTGCTCTGGTGTACCAGTGGGTTTTTGAGATACAGAAATTGACCTTGTCTGGTGTGTGTGGTTTATTTATTTTTTTATTTTAGGGGAGACTTTTCCTGAAGGACACAGCTGTACCTACAATCTTGTCTTCCTTTAAGGTCAAAAAACATCTTCCAAGAAGGAAAGTACAGGTAAGTAGGAATGACAAGGTAAGTGACAACCCCGTTGGTTTTGCAAATAGTTTAGAGAAGGTTGCAGATGTAGATGCATGTGTAGACAGTGCCATAAACGTTTCTGTTGATCTGAGCAATATAATGATGTGTGAAGACTCACCTCAAGAGGTCTTTGTTACTCAAAATGTAACACATGATGACATTCCTCTGCAAGCAGTTGAGTGTGATACTGCTCGTTTTAGTCACAGTGTTCAACACCAGAATGACTCAGACTCTGGTCAGTTTAACGCTGTGCCATTACAGCCAAACAGTATCCTGAGTGACCAGTGCTATCAAATCACAGTCTTCCAAATCGCTTAAAAGGAGAGTTATGTCAGCAAATGAAAAGGTACGTGTACTTCAGAAAAAGCTTAAATTGGAATCCCAGCAGACAAGGAGATTGAAGGAAAGAATCTCCTCTTTGAAAAGTGTCACCAAAATTCTTCAGAAGAAACCTCTAATATCAACTGAATGTGCCTCTCTTCTTGAGGGTTTGGATGGTGATCCAAAAGAGTTGTTACAGAAAATAAATCAGAGGAAAAGATCATCTTTTTCTGAAAACTTGAAGCAATTTGCAACTGCACTGCATTTTTACTCTCCTAAGGCTTATGACTATGCTGGAGAACACTTTCACTTGGCTTTGCCTCATCCACAGACCATTCTCAGCTGGTACAGTAGTGTCTGCAGATCCTGGTTTTACTCTTTCTTCATTTTCAGCTTTAAAATGTCATGATGTTGAGAAGAAGAAGGAAGGAAAAGAAACGGTTTGCTCTTTGATGTTAGATGAAATGTATATTCATAAGCAAACTGAGTTTGATGGGAAACAGATTCATGGCTATGTTGACATCGGAGCTGGTGAGATTGAAAATGTTGCAACACAAGCATTAGTCATCTTGGTTGTTGCCATCAACGCGTCTTGGAAGCTCCTGATTGCTACTTTCTTATCAACAGCATGAATGGGAAAGAAAGAGCTAGCCTCATTCAAGAAAGTCTGTGTAGGCTTCATGACATCGGAGTTAGGGTTGTATCCTTGACATGCCATGATCAGGGAGCTAGGTGCCAATCTGGACATGAGATCATACTGTGTCCATCCAGCAGATCACACACAGAAAATCCATGTTCTCTTGGATCCATGTCACATGCTCAAGCTTCTTTGCAATGTTTTTTCAACTGTTATTTTTTGGGAAGATGGCCAGCTGATACGTTGGCAGTACACTGAGTAGTTGCACAAGCTTCAGGAGAGGGAAGGCTTGCGTCTTGGCAACAAACTCAAAATGGCTCACATTCAGTGGCAAAATCAAAATATGAAGGTTCACCTTGCGGCCCAGATCTTTAGCAGCAGCATGGCTGCTGCTCTTGAGTACTGCGAGCAACAACTGAGGTGTGCACAGTTCAGTGGATGTGCAGCCACAGTTGATTTCCTGCACACAGTTGATGCTGCTTTTGATGTCCTAAATAGTCGCAATCCACTTGGAAAAGGACGCAAAGCACCCATCACACCAAAAACTAAACCCCTTGGTCACTTTAAAAGAAACAGAGTCTCTCCTCAGAGGGCTCAAAATCATAGGGAAAGACAACAGAGTGGTACATTTGCATTCCACACAGAAAAGGACACCCATCTATGGTTTCATTGCCTGCTTTAGAAGTGTGATCGGCATCAATGAAGACCTTGTAGAGCATCCAGCTGCTCTTTGTCAATATCTTCTGACTTACAAACTCAGTCAGGACCACTTGGAGCTGTTCTTCTCTGCAATCAGAGCATGTGGTGGTCACAACAACAACCCCGGTGTAAGGCAGTTCAGAGGGGCATACAAGCGTCTTCTTGTAAGGCACCAGGTTAAAAAGGGAACGGGTAACTGTCTTCTTCATGACAACACAGCTATCCTTGATTCTACACCAGCAACTGTGAACATTGCACGCAGGTTGGATGTGGTGCCTGTAGAAGCACTTGTACCTGAAGATGACTCCATCTGTGATCTTCCAGATCACTTCCAGATCCAGATCTTCCAGATGTCAACAACCTGTCTGAGTACAAGAAAGCAGCGACTTCTTACATCACTGGTTTCATTGCCAAAAAGTTGAAGCAGAAGATTACATGCATGCCTTGCTCACAGGCACTGACATCGGATGAATCTGTGCATCCACTCTTGGCATTGAAGGACAGAGGTGGATTACAGAAACCATCACAAGGCATCACTGCAGTTTGCCATGCAACAGAAAGATGCTTCCAGCGGATTCTAAAAGCCAATGAAGGAAAGGCTCCACGTGGAAGAGGAACTACAGCAGCCATTGTTGCCCAGGTTGTCACTGACTGTTCAGAGAAAAATTTCTTCCCGCAGCTGCACAGCCACATGTTTGATGTGTGCTGAAAGTAATCATGTCCATGTTCTGGTAAAGATGGCTTCTGCATGGTACAGCAAAATTAGATTAAATCATATAGCACGGCGGGAGACTGACCGGATGAAAGAAGGCAAAACTGTCTGCAAGAAGCTCAGAAAATTAATCCATTTTAATGGAGATTAGAGAAAAGCTGTTCTGGTCATATCTTTTAGTCTGTCTGTACATTTTGTTATGTGTTTGTCAGAAGTTGTGACCATGAACATTTTTCTGATATTTGCAGACAGAACATAAAATATGAAGAGCCTTACTTTCATTGGACATCCATTGAAATGTTACTTAGAGCCTGCATGAACGGGGCCTAAGTATACACT